CGATCTCAGGATTGGCCATACATACTTGCTTTGAGACGGGAAAGAGGAGAATTGAGGTGGTAAGGAGAGAGGTGAATTAGGGAGGCTTAGGTTAAAATCTGAAATTAATTCTCAGATTTAGAGGGAGGGAAACATTAATTTGGGATTCAAATTAATTCAAAATGGGGGCTTGATTGGGGCGGCAGCCAAGGAAATTTTAATGGGTATTTAATGGGGGTCCAGGTGGCGAATTGGAGAAGAGAAAGGGGATAGAGAGGGGTCCGGCCATATAGGGGGGAATTTGATGTGTTTTTATTTAATATGTGGGCCCGGGGAGGATTTAATTGAGGATTGTCATTAAATTTGAAATTGATTTCAAATTTTAATGTGTTTAGGAGGTTTCCTAATATACGTTAATAATACGGAAAGCTTTATAATTCAAATTTGAATTTGAATCTAAATGTGGCAACTTTCCAAATTAATAGGGGTGTATTTTAGGAAAGTAATTAAGGATGATTTTGAAATTTGTAATTCAAAATCCCTATGTAATGGAATGAGGGCCGGTTGCTTGTGGAGCTTGGGGAGGCCGGCGGTGAGGGGTTTGCTGAGGGGGTCGGTGGTGGATGGGTGAGGGGAGGCCGGCGGCTCAAGGGTGAGCCGGGTTGGTGGTGGGGTTCGGTTTTGGGAGGAGGAAAAGGGGATGGGGTTTTGGGAGGCCGGCAGGTAGGGGGCTAGGAGGGGAGGTGGAAGTAGAAGGAAATAGAAAAGAAAAGATTGGAGCCGTGAACCTTGGAATCCTCCTAAGGTTGACGGGTATTGCTTTCACCCACATAGGGTCTCTCATCTCAAGAACTCACTTAGAGATCAAGTAAGAAATCTGAAATTTCATTCATAATTCATCATCCGATACAATAGAGGAGGCCACAATATATAGGCCTACGGAAATAAAAATACAATGACTCAAATGCCCTTTGAACTACAACTCCAGCAGACTCAAAAGAAAGGGTACAACTATAAATAGCAATTAATACATAAAACATCAAAATAAAGACTAAGCATCAAAATAAAGCCTGTGGATCGTAGCTATCGATCTGCAACTCTTGCGCTGATATACTCGTTGAAAACGTCTATCAATGTCCTCATCAACATGTCTTGTTCTTAAATATGTTATGACTTTAGACTATTTTGCCACTAGTTCTTGCTTCATTTAAAAGTATCATGTGAGAGTTTAGGAATGAATTAAACTACCATCCATCAAAAACATGATATGAGATTTTTTTTTATCTGATTTTTGAATATTGAGGTATGTTATGAGCATTTTATTTTAAGGTTACACTTGTGCTTATTCTATAGGAAAATATAGTTATATCCAATATAAATCCTATGAAAAATACATTATTGCAAGAAATCATGTGTGGTTAAAGTTTATCTAATTGAAGAAATGATAGTTCATGATTTTATTTTTTTGAGAATTTATTTAGATGTAGAATATGATTTATATTTACTATCCTAATCTTTTTATGTTGTATTTGAATTTGTATCTACATTAGTTCATGATCATAAAACTGAAGATATACTTCATCAAGTGTTAAGATTGGGGTTTGAAAGCAATATTAAGTATGAAATCATATTTGAATCTAAACCTCTAAGGGAGATTGAATTTATGCTTGAATGTTAAATTGTACAAACTCTATTTAGTTTAGTTGATGAATCAATTAACCTATCAAAAAGACCTACTGTTGATGCTTATTAGGTGATATTATTACTATGATGAATTACTAAAGAGAGGTTAATTTTGTTTTTAGTTCTTGATTTATTGAATTTAAAATTCATAAAAGAAACCTTATAAGTTAAGTTGCATCAATATTTCCAACAATCGATTAAGGAAGAATTCTTTAGAAGACTTCTAAAATATAGAGCTCTTTATTTGGTTCATCATAATCATAAATGTGCATACTTCATTACAATTAGTTTTTAAGTAATTTAGGTTTGCTTTGCTTTAAATGGTTGTCCGTTCATCTATAAATATCATAATTATGTGGTCTGTCTACTTATATTTGTATTGGAATTTCATTTTGTAGGAATTAGTTATAGGTTATTATTGGTATCCCTTAAGGTGTTTCTTAGTTTTTAATATTTCCATTACTTATATTATTTTCATGATTTGCCTGAATTATATGAGGACATTTGCAAAAGATTGAATATGAATTATGATAATTATAAGATTTATACTGATGTGAATAAGAGGCACATTGAGTTAAAACTAGTAAAGTGGAGCTACATTGAGTTTAAACCTAGTGGTAAAGTAATGATAAATTTAAATTCAGAAATGCTTCCATCATGATCCTTTAAGAAATTAAATGCAAGGATAATATGTCTATTTGAAATCTTTTAGCACGTTGGAGCTAATGACTATAAGTTAGAAATGTGAAGAAATTAGGTCATTAATTTAGTTTACAAAGTACATTATTTAAATCTTAGTTCATTTAGTTGTTATCCTTCTCTCTTTATATCTACTTGTGAATTCGTATCCCATCCTCTACTATGCTTGAAATTTGTGTACTGACATTGCTCATAGAGCTTGTTGAGTCAACATGATAGGTTGGCTTTTAAGTTTGTGAGTTGAGAAAATTCACTGATTTGGCCCTTGAGCTTGTAGAATTGGGGTTTTCATTCAAGGTCAATATTTTCTAGATTTGTTGAACTTGAACTTGTTAGATCAACAAGCAATTCATGTTTAGAGTTGAGTTGAGAATGATTATTGCCCTCACAAGCATTTTTTATTTTGTTGTTAACATGAGTTTCCAATTAGCTTTTGGGATTCCAAATGAGAAACAAGGCTAGATTTCATTGAAGAGGATTTAAATTAAAATTGCCCTAATTTGGCAGAGGAATTTTAGGTTACAATACAATTTTATGCTTTAGGTTTATGTGATGATAATAGTAATTTGAATCGAATTTACCCCCTATGAAACAATGTGGAATTATAGATGTTCGGCATATGAGGACTAATTCCCTCACTTTAAAGCTCAGCTTGTCAAAACAGGTTAATAGGTCGGGTTCAGGTCCAACCCGAAATTGACTCAAACCCGACTCATTTAATAAACAGGTAAAAATGTGAATTCAAACCTGACAATATCTAGATGACTCGAGCATGACATGATTACTCGTTCCGATTCAAGGAAAATATTTGTAATTTGTCAACTATAGGGTTTTTGTTAATTGATCAAAATTCAAAATTAAGAAGAGCAAATTACATGTAAAAAAATTGAAGGGAAAAAATAATTAAACTCGTCACTATAGGGTTTGTGGTATAATCCGAACATTTAATTAAACGGGTTGGAATTCTATACTGGAATCCGCCCTGCTTCTTATGTAGGTCAAACTGAATATGGACTTTTCAAATCGGGTTATCAAGTTGGGTCATTTATTGACATCTCTATTTAAAGCTCTTAAGGCGAACTATGTGATCATTAGATCTATTCATCTTTTCCATGCGGTTTATTTATTTATTTTTTTAGCTTGAAGTTGACTAGTAATGTTAGCACCCAAATTTTAAACTAGTGATATTCTAAACTAGACATTAGATAATTTTATTGTAGGATGTAACTGGTTTTATTTTTGATGTCAAGATTGTCCGCTGATTTAACATTGGTTGCACTTCTTAGCATGGTCCAACTTAGTCCTTAATATTTCATATGCTTGATTTTGTTTTTCATTTTTAGACCAGATTGCTGTGCGTTGGACAACCCATTTTTTAACAATGTATTTTTCTTCTTTCTTGATTGGTTGAAGTATTTATGCTCTTTGTTTAAAATTGTGCAATGAGAGGGTCTACTCAATACCATTTTAAAACAAGATCCAAAAAATATGCACCTCACTGGGGCTTGATGAGGCATACGCCTTGGCAGGGTTGGGGTGTGTTGCTGCGCAATTCTTAAGAGGTGCAAACCAAATAAACTAGGCTTCATGTAATTTAAAAATTTTAATATATAAATTTAATATATAAGTTAAATCATATTTGTTATTTATGTACATCTAAATCTAAAACAAACAGAAACTGGAATCTCATGTGCCTCCTTGACCCCCAACTCCACTTTTTACTCGCATCCGATGCCGCTTGCACTCGCAGTCATACTCCATTGTTGCTGTGCAACCAATAATGTAAGAGGAAGATGATTGAGATCAAATATTGGGATGATGCTAACACATTGAGGATGATAAAGGAAAGGAGCAATTCACTTCAATGATGATTCTAAGAATAGGGGAGACTTGAATCCATAAATTATACTTAATGACTTAGACTACAAGTTTATGTTAAATTGAGAGGGGGAAAAACTTATTGTTTTGATTTTATGTGGATTTGTTATGATTTTTTTTTTATATGTTTCTTTGATGTTAGTATTTTACTGATTATTTCATGTTGTTATTAATTTAATGGTTTAATTATGAGGCCTAAGCCACAAAAAATCTTGTACAAAACATATCTCAATACTCAATTCTGGAATTTCAAATCTTTGTAGTGGCACAAGTCTTTCTCTAGTGCTTCAGAGCACAGCTTAAGATGGCTGTCATGTTCCAGTCGATTGGTTGCTTTTTTATCAGCTGCTAATGGGCCGAAATTCAGGAAGGTTGCTTATGATGTTCTAAAGAAAGTTTTGCTGATGCGAATTGATGAATGGCCTTGTGACCTATTCTTTTATTAATGGATTATTGCCCAAGATATTACTTTTATTTCATGCGCCTGTTTTTTTGTCACTTTGATTCATTTTCTCTGTTGGTTTGTGCTTCATGTCTTATTAATTCAACTGTAATCAATTATCTGTGACAGATTTAGAATTTGTTTGGGATAGCTTTAGACTATTTTTTTCCCCTGCATTCAAGAGATTTTTGTACTAAAAAAATAGATTATATAAATCAGTAAAAAAGCCGTCCCAAACGAAGCCTTAGTATAGCGAGTGTTTTCTTTTCTTTATATTAAATTTTTGGTACAATGATTTTAACAACCACCTCTCTTGCAGCTTAGGGTTGCTCGGGAAACAGTACTTTACAAGGATGAGCAGTTACGGGAAGCACAAGCATGGATTGCACGTGTTCAGGTGGATGCTTTGCAGTCAACAACAAATCAGTCTTTACAAGCTGAACTGCAGGAGCGGACTGAGCAGTTCAATCAATATTGGATTGCTTTGCAGCGACAGGTTGCTTTAAGCGTAAATAAATTGTTGGTTTTTTTTTAAGTGCAGGGACATTAATTGATTCCTTTAAGCAATTTCCGTACCTTTGTGTAGCATTAGATTCCTTCTTTTGTAATTCATTTTTATTTTATTGATTTTTGCACATGCAATTAATTTTTTTTTATCTTGATGTTAGTTTGTGGAAATGGAGCGTCACCACATACAAACAATACAACAACTTCATTTGGAGCTAGCAGAGGCAAGGGGGAAGAGTGAAATATACAAAGATGGCTTCCTAATGGCACATGAAAACTCAACTGATTCTTCATCACATTTGCAAAAGAAGGGACACCAAATGAATACTACTAATGATGGCATCATAAACAGTGCCTTGACACATCCATCAAATGGAAAATTTTCAACTTCCAGCTCTTCAATCAATGTAAGTAAAGATGCAATAGACCAAAGTTTTCCCCTATTTGGAAAAAGAAGACATTGAAATATTCTGTTAAATTTTGCAATGATAAGAAATAGTGAATTACTGAAGAAAAGGTCAAACAATAAATTAAAAATTGTGCTAAGCATCTCACAAAAATATAAAAGCTCCTCTTTTTATGTATTTTAAATTACTCTAAATCACCTTGAAGTAAATTGCTTCTTAGCAATATAGAAAGTTCTTGACAAGGGAACTTCTCATTTATTGTCATACCTTTAAAATGAAATGCCTCGTGTTCCTTGCATCTGATATGAAGTCGATGCAATTTCAGCAAAAATCAGTAAACGGCACTAGAGATTGGGATGAAGAATGCCTAAAAATGAATTTTATTGAAAGAACTATGAAGAGAAATGTAATATACAATTAGATTTTCAATCGGAGTGGAAGATTAAGCTCTCCCAAAGCCCTAGCCACCTGCTAGAGGCCTCTCAACTTAGACAAACTTCAAAAACAGCAAAAAAGACAAATTGAAACCCTAGGTAAACAACCTACTTAAAGCATACAATCACCCAAAGCAAATCCCTAAATAGCCCTCCTTATCTGAAGTTTCCTTCCTAGCCACCCCCTCCTCTATTAAAAAATCCTCCTTGGGCCCACTTCAAGGGGGCGGGATCCTCCCGTGCTGTTCCGCCTAGTGCTAGCTCATGCCGGTCCAGTATAGACCGGCCCTTCTATGACCGGTCCAAGAGGAACTGGTCTATCAACATCTCATTATGTTTCCACTAAACTTTTCTATCTCGCAAAGAGTACCAACTAAAGACCAATTTTGTACATTAATTATGAAATTGCATTTTGCAAACCTCGTGACATATCTGTGAGTATTTTGTGGCTTATGGATACTTGTAATGTAACTTTATAAGGTGCCTTAGAAGAACTACTTGTCTTTGGTTTGTTTTATGAGCGAGTCCTTTCGTGATCTACTTTTTCTTTGATTTTTAAAGTTATCTAATTTGCTTGTCCCTTTATGAATTGTTGCACTGAGCAGTTGTCAATCATAAAGCTGACTAATGTATTTAATTATTCAAACATTCAATCATATTGTGAACAGAAGTGCTGATGGTTGATGGCATTTAATTATTCCATGTTTGGATTTATTTTTTTGTTTCGGTTTTTAGTTTTCTGTTTTAAAAACAGGCTCTTAAGGTACCTTTTATACCCTATGTGATACATTTTAGCTTGGCTTTTTTCAAATTTTTTCATTGCGACATATTTAAAATTATTTGTAAAAGGGTGTTTCTTGAAATACTTGAGGATTATCTAGCTATGAGCTCAAGATATATACTCAAGTGGCCTCTGAGGTTCTCTAATTATAAGTAAACGTTTATTATGGGGATTCATGGTGGCTTCTAATTCGTGTTATTTTTATGTTATCACTTTACTGGCCAAATCTTTTTATATACCTCGAACAAAAGAAATCACGTAGAACTTTATTAGCCTCAGTGCAGTTCTTATTTTCTGATCGTGCCTAGAAATCTGCTTTCTACATGTTTTGATGTTACAATGACTATTCCGTTATGTTCATATTCCTTTAAGATCTGATGGATTTAGATCGCTCCGAGAATAGTTCTTTTTTTTTTGTAACAGTAAATACTTTTTTTTTTATTTGAATTTGTTGCTGTCTCTGCTCTTTACCTTGGATATCTATAACTGTTCATCCTCAGTAGTATTTAACAGTGTATCTGTAAGCATTTCATCCTTGATTAAATAGACGCATCATCCTGTGTGATGATCTGGTTGTGCAAATTTATGCTTTTCTTTCCACAATTGATATTTACCTTCAAACCTTCTTTTTGTTTTCTTTGGAAGAAATCTATTCCTTTCAATGAAATGGGCAATTTTTTTCTGATATTTATCAATTAATAATTTGATATACCTTCCAAGGAAAACCATTTAAGATTGTTTCTTTCTCTGTTTAAATTTTTTATTTTTATTATTTCCTCCAGACAGAACATGCCTCTAGTGTTCCTGTATTTCCTCCTCCGCTTGGAATAGGCACCTTTGTGCCTGGTGGTCAGGTGGCTGCCTTTCGCCCTTTTGTTATGCACCCTCAAGGTGTTCCACATTCTCCGTCATCCACAAATTCCATCATCTCTCAATCTTATTTGGGCAATGTTCTGCCAACATCTCCAGTGCCAGCCCAACAGTTATGGCTGAATCATCAGGTTATCACCCTTTCACGATGCAGTTTTATGGATTTGTTGGAGATGGCAGTTTCTGTAATATGTTGCATGTCTTTGACAGTTATTATTATTATTATTATTATTATTTTCATTTTTCCTTCAGGTTATGCTCAATCAGAGTAAATGCAATACATCTCAGTTAGAGCCAAATCAAGTTGGATCAGATTCTCATTTTAGCTGTCAGCTTTCTTCTGATGGAAAGGTACTCCAGGAATACCATCTCAACTCTCAAAACAACCAACAGCAGAGTTCCTTTCCTGCGATCAATGGGTCAAATGAAGAAATTCAGGTTAGAATGTGGTGTTTCTGTTTATTCTGTGAACCCTTTTATTGATAATCCTAAGGGCATCTCCAACCGAAAATCTCATTTTTCACTCCAAAATGCCGTAAAACTAAAAAATGCTGTGATTCATCTCCAATCGAACTTCATTTTGCCCCGTAACGGTCGTTCTCTTCTTTCGCGCGTTTCTTTGACAAGTTCGGTAGAGACAAAAAAATGGCGAAGATGAACAGTGGCGTCGCACTGTTCATCCGCGATGAAATGGCGTAAGAATTGCCGCTCGGTTGGAGCGACTGATGAACGGCAAACATTCCATTGGAGATGCTCTAAATTATTCTAATTGTGAACTCTTAAAACCTCTCTAGGTTCCTGAAATTAGCAGTAACATTTTTTCACTGCATTTTGTTAAATTTATTCGGGCAGGATTATAGCATTGCATCTTTTAATGAATCACAAGAGCTAGTTACAACATCAAGTCAACAGTGCTTAGCTTCCATTATAGATGCAGAGGCTGCTCCAAGCATTGTTGTTGGTTCCAACAGTGCTGCAGAATACAATAGAGCTAAGCTGGTATCTTCTGAAACTACGATTCCAACCACACATGAATCAAGCTCGGTGACCACCAGTAAGACAATGGACCATGCTCTTTTAGATGAAAGGGCACTTTTGGCTTGCATTGTTCGTGCAATTCCTGCCGGATCTGATGGTCGAATTAGGATTAGCACTACTGTGAGTTTCATTGTGCAAGTTTCAAATTGTTTCAGATTTGTTGTTGCATGATATTTTTTCTTCTTTTTGTTAGTACCTAAATCCTTCACAAATTGTTGCTTTCAGTTGCCAAATAGGCTTGGAAAAATGCTTGCACCTCTTCACTGGCATGATTATAAGAAACACTATGGAAAGCTTGATGATTTTGTTTCCCATCATCCCGAAGTAGGTTTCCATCCTTGATGTCTTAAATTTATGTTTCGGTTGGGATGACTTTCTTATATTAGAAAGCTGCTTTAAGAAGCAGTAAGAAAGCCGTCCCAAACAAAAGCCTTAATATGGTCTTAAACTTTTTCTGATTTTATTTCTCCCTCTGTTTCAGCTATTTGTAATTGAAGGAGACTTTATTCATCTACGTGAAGGAGCTCAAGAAATCATATCCGCCACTGCAGCGGTGGCAAAAGTCGCAGCTGCAGCTGCAGCATCCTCTGTTTCGTATTCTTCATTGGTCCCATCAGTTGCTGTCACTCCAGTTTCTCAGACCAATCGTCATAAAAAGTCATCTGTAGAATCCAACAACACTCAAGCTTCATATAATAGTTTCCCAGTGAATCTGAAAAGCCCCCATCAACCACAAAATGGCATCAGCTTTAAAATTGTTCAAGAAATACCAGACGAAACCTTCTCGAACAAAATAAAGAATTCTTATGGAATGAATGGTTTGTCAAATGTCAGGCATGTCTTTGGAGGGAAGCAACAAGAAAGGTATCCTTCAATCTTAAGATGGCAAGTCTTCTAATTTTAAAGCTTTCTATAAATAATCTCTGCTTATCCATTGTGAATTGCTTCCTTTTGGCAGGTCTTCTGGAACTGGACTTATTTCCAGGCGATAGTAAGTTGCTGTAATGACATGCCATTCTTTTTATCTATTTGTTCTATGCAATGTGAATACGTTTATCTTATTTAATTTAGTTCCTTCTAACCGACAGAGCTATGGGTATCTATAACTGCTACTATTTTTTAAGGTCTGGATGTTTGATGATATTATCGCATTTTAATCTGCCAGTTTGTTTTGATCAATGGAAGTTTACCAAGTCAATTTACTAATCATGTTTTGGTTTAGTAATACAAAGAGAAATCAAATTCTTCTGATTTGTATTATTGCAAGAACAATGGTAAAGAAGGAATGCCTTTGTTTGATGATTCATGATAGGGGCTAGATGTTTGCCTCTTATGACTGCTAGAGGACCACTAAAGGGTAGAAATTATTTTGTATGGATGCTGCATGTTGTCCGGAGACCAATTAGAATCAGCCACTTCTGTATTGCAATTCGGTACTGCTCGGTACCGCTGCTCGGTATTGCTGACGTGGCTCATTCTAATTAGTTTTCGAATGTAGAGCGGCGTACCGCATTCGCACAGAATAATTTCTCCAAGAGGAGAGCTTAATCATTTGCTTACCTATATAATAAGCCAACATATGATCATATGAAGAAAGATACAGACAAACAAGAAACTTGAACACGGTTATATAAATGTGGCATACTTGTAAAAAAATAGGACATGTAATGTTAGATTTTTTTTGTTAATTATATAATTAAAATAAAATTGGTTTTTCTCTTGACCTTATTTTATTTTATTTTGTTTCATATTTTCACTGACTTCCTCTTATGAGATTCTTGTCAATTGTAGTGATTGATTTTGATGTGTTTTTCCTATTACATAATTTAAAGAACTATAAGATTAGTAGATTAAGGTTTTGTTTGTGATTGTTTTTTTATTGCTTTTTTAAATTAATTTTTTATTGCAAAAATTTATTTTAAGAAGAGGCAAACTCACACACACAATGCATACACAAAGACTCGAACCCAAGACCTTTTAGTTGAAAGCCTAAGCTCTCAACCAACAGGTCAAGTTGAGCTGTGTTGGTTGCTGAATTTTGATAAAGAAAGAAAACGTTTTGACTATCCATCATGTTTAGCAAGAAGAGTTGCTCCTGTAGGCTGCATACGAGCAGGCAAGAGATGGGTTTGCAGACAATGAATGAAAGCCGAACTGATTTGTGAGTGCTGGACATGAATGAGCGCATTATTAATAAATCAGGCTTTCGCAACATTTTTTCTAACCTACATCAGCGGTTTAAACACCTACAAAATTCTTTGCAGCGGTTTAAAATCTGCTTCACATCCGCTGTATCTGCGTTTGCTGTCTCGTTGGTAAGGCTTTAGCAATGGTTTGGCTGATTGGCTGGATGAAAAAAAAGCATTAACTGCATTTGAAATGTTTGGAATTATTTGGATGAGTTTAAAATAAATACATATGATTATTTTTTATTTAGCTTGAAATAAAATACAGGAAGTGTAAATCTTAATGAGAGTAGCGGCTGGAAGTAGAGGCCATGGCTGCTTGGTTATGGCCTGTGTGGCATGCAAGGATTATAAGAGGTGTCGGCAATAATGATAAATAATTTATATTGTATTTGAAAATTTGTTAAATTTACTGATTTTCAAATACAATAAATAGTGAATTTTAAATACTTAAAATTTTATCATGCACTTCTTTTATTTTAATTAAACATTAATATTTTCAAAACTCTTAGATATCAATGTTTTACATGTATTTTATGTCAAATCAAACATCCTCATAATGATTGAGTGGAGGACTTACGCTGAGAGTGTCGAAGGGGTGAGGTAAACTCCTAAGCAAAAGCAAGGTGTTAAATAGCCTTGTGGGAGTGGAGAAATTATTCTGTGCGGACGCCGAATGAAACTCTATGTCTCGAGATCAATCAGAATGAGCTACGTCAATGATATCGCACCATAGTACTGAGCGGTACCGAGCCACGATATCGAGCAGTACCGAGCTATGATACTGATGTGACTCATTTTGGTTGGTCTCCAGATGGCGTTTGCAACAAATAATTTTTTGTGGGAGTGAGTGTCATGTTCATTGGCTTGAATGGCAAGAGGGTCAGAAATAACATAAGCAAGAGGATCATTAAGGAACTTGAATCGAACCATTGAGCTTTAAGGAACTTGAATCGAACCATTGAGCTTCTTAAAAATCTCAAAATAATTTATCAACTGTGCTATTCGGTGGAGGCATATTCAGCTCATGACCATCTCATTTAGGCTTGAAATATTCCTAATATAATTTTACATTTTTACAGGTGTTATTGTGTGTTTGAGGTGTGTCAATGTCCAACACATTTGACGCATAAAAATATATTTTAAACTTTGAGAGATCTATAGATATAATATTTTTTAACCTTTTTAGAGTCCGGCTATTTTCATTTTTATTTTTTTAATTCATTCTTCATTTGAAGATTTCACAATTTTTTTATTGATTTCTAAAGCAAATTTTTAGTTTAAAAATTTTTATACTAAAAAATTTGCCTTAAGAAACAGTAAGAATGCTGTCCCAAACAAAATCTTATGCTTTGTTTGGGACGGCTTTTTTACTGCTTTCTAAAACGGAGTTTTAGTACAAAATTTTTTATTTTTGTATTAAAACTCCGTTTTAGAAAATAATAAAAAAGCCGTCCCAAACAAAGCCTTAGTCGTTGATACTGACATTAGGCTGCTTCATGTTAATATGGTTTGCAGCTCATCCAAAAACTTGCAGATCTTATTTTTTCATAAGAGCTTAGTGCATGTTTTCTTTAGAATTTGTTTACAATGTGATGGAGGGCGTTTTAATGTTTAAGTTGTCTAATGTTGTTCTAACATGCAATATGGAAAACAATATATTGAGAACGAGGAATTTTAAGATCAGAAACTATTATTTTGTAATAACTATTTACTAAGCACCTTTGATGGAAATTTTTTTTTTTTGAAGAATCTAATTTACATGACATATGGCTTAATTTGAACTACAAAATACCACAAAAAAAAGGTCATGCACATGATAGTATTTTTAGACAAACAAAATAAATATATAAAGTTTAATTAACCATAATTTTACTGGTAATTGTTAACAAAAAATCTCATATGCATCCGTTCATCCATCACCCTTTAGAGCCGTAGAATGATCATTATCTGAAAGCTAAAGTGTCTTTCTTGTAAGCTCACTAGTATTTTTATCCAATGCAGATATCAAAACTATGGCAACTCATTTATCATCATCTTTCTTACTAAAAGTACTAAATGCCGCTTCACACTCAACTCTATAAATACTTCATTCGAAGTAAGGTAAATGAATTCTAACACTCATTCTCCACTCGTTCTTACATTAGAAGAAATTTGATTTTGAACTAGTTTCTATTCTTAATCACCTTCAAGTTTACTATTAATATCAATATGGTACCCCACTCTTTAGTATTTAACATAGGACTGAAGGATTCCATGGTTGTTGGAATGGGGAAAGAGGTACAACCCTATTAAGGAAAATAGAGTTGAAAATTTTAGATCTTGACTAGACATGGTAGATCCTTGTACAAAGAGACTCATCCATCGATTTGGATTGTACAAATTGATGATGTTGAGATGGCTTCCTATGGATAATGCTGAATTGTTGATAATGATTTTGTTTGAATTTTGACAGAATTTGAGCAAGTGGGTTATTTTTAGCCAACATTCTTTGTCAAGTAGATTGATGTGATAATTGTTTTTGCCTATTGGAAAAGATAGTGATCTTCCACATTTTTCTTAAAAAAAAAAAAGGAATAGACTATGTCATCTCTACTTTGAAGATGTGTGAGCTCTAAAAGGAACTCATGAGATTGTGATGCTTTTTATTTTTTCTCTCACTCTTTGAAAGCATTGAGAGGGGAATGCTAACCATCATATTGTTTTCAAAGGCAAATTACTTTAACTTTCTTATAAATTTAGCATTTATATTAGATTAAGGAGTTTGAGATTTTCCTATTTTGCAAACCCTTGTGGTTACATCTTATGCCAAATGCCTAAAAACTCTCTTGATTAAGAATGTCATCATATTTTAGATTGGTAGTTGAATCTAAAATTTATATACGGAGGAATGAGCGGGGATGTAAAGTCAACTTATCAAGTTCTTGATTTGGGCTTAGCTTAAGCATAAGATTTGATCTTGTAAGGCTTTGTCTCGGCTTGATTTAAGACTGTTCTTCATATGCAACATTAATAATCTAAAAGCAAATCTAATGATTTTTAAGTATATCTTATTATAATTTGAATCATGATATCCTCTTATAATTTTTCTCTAGAAATAAAAAAAATTATGTCAAAATGAACTTAAAAGTTATTAGATTTGTTTTAAGATTAGCATAATTCAAATGTAATCCAATCATTTTAAAGTTAATTATAATACAATTTATATGAGAATATCTCAACACAATTAAAAGGAAAAAAAAATCTATGAGAATTGGAGGAAACTAGATTCTGGCTTGAAAATAAATTAGAAGGGTTTAAATACTTAAGACGTATCCCTTAAATAAAAATTTAGAAGACCTTTTTTTAAAAAAATAGATTAATCATTCGTTTAAGACAATTTTTTTACTGCTTTGCTTTTTAGATACGAACCCGTAGTTTCTTTTTGGCTATTGCTTTTCAATGCTTTCAAAAAAAATTATGCTAGAAAGTTATTTTCTATAACAGCTTAAAAATTAATTTATACACAATAACCTTTCAACCACTTTTATAAAAAGGTTTTTTTTTTTTTAAAGAAGGATCGAGTTTTAATTTAAATTAGAAATATGAGCAGAGTATTAAAAGAATTTAAAAAGAATCAAATTAGTCAAACATAATGACATATTCCATTGAATGCACCAAACTGTTTGACGTATTTAGAATAAGTCAAATAATTTGGTGCATTCAATGAATGCAACATACTGCTTGTCACATTCTATTGAATGTGTCATTTAGTGTGGTGCATCGCTACAGTACTGTGAAATTTAGTTCGGTTGACTGGCAGGTTGAATGCGCCAAATGATAAAAATACTGCACAAATTTATTCGGCTTATTTGAACCGTTTTAAATTTAAAACTTACATGATCTTACAACTAAAAATATATACTATACATGCTACTTAAACTGTTTGACATATTTAGAATAAGCCAAATAATTTGGTGCATTCAATGAATGCGACATACTGCTTGTCACATTCTATTGAATGTGTCCCTTAGTGTGGTGCAT